TTCATTCTTACTTTCTTTCATCCTCAATGTTTTTGTTTGGTCTTTTCCAGTGTGGCTCATTTAAGGCTTAAGTGGTTAAAAAATGCTCTGATAATCACCCACGCATGAATGCTGGAAAAACCTGTTGTTAAATTTGTGCATAAATCTAGCTGATACACTGGGCAGACAAATAAGGTACAAGACTCTACCTCTGCGAATGGAACAGAGGCTGGAATAGGTGCACTTTGATGAATAAGGATAACCAACGGAACTCATTTGCATCTGTGATATTGAAGAGACGTATGCAGCATTAATCCATTAAGTTCAATCATCTCTCTACTTATCTGTGATAATATTTTACCAATTCACTGATCACTGGCTTGATAAATCACATGGAAAATAAGGAAAATTGTAATAGACAAGGTAATTATTATCTCATGCACAGATAATTCTCCAACATGGAATAAATGGAACGTTCTCAGAAATTATCATGAATTTCAGACATCTTTGGTTTGCTCAAAACCAGTTAACTTGCTACTTCTCCATGGGGTTTTCTCACTCATGAAATGGGTCTGGTTACCCAGAACAACCACTTTGATGGTGTTTATATTATTTAATATTTCCAGATCCTGGTATGAAATGGTTGGATCTTTCCATTTTCAGGGTTGCTCCCCCCAAGTTTCTTCAAAGCGTGCAGGAACCAGTATAACCAACAAAAACAGGGACCGTTCAGTTCAAGTGTGTACATTTGAACCACCCGCCTTGGAAATTCTGACCATCCCCACCCAGAGTCAGTGCATGTTGAGTGATAAAGGCTGAGAATTCAGTAACATGGGAAGTGGAGTAGTCCTTTTTGCTCACTGAGCCTGGCCCACCAATCAATGAGATCACAGGTGATCTGTGACCTAACTCTATGTACACACCTTTGTCCCTGATCCCTGAACACATTTGATGGTCTTTTGCTAAATAATCTCATATTTTAGATTATAATCCAGCATCATTGCAACCTGCAGAAGATCATTGCAAACTTCCACTAGCCTATGTGTTTTGTAATCTCACTCTAGAAAGTCCAGGTCTCTATTTTAGACTATACTTTCTAGCCCTCGAGTTCATATCTCAGGCCAAGAGGTGAAGCATAGAAAGGAAGTTAACCTTTATACTTTTCAGAAATTCATTCAGGGGTATAGGTTTCACTGGCCGGGTAAGCAATTATTGCTCATTCCTAATTGAGAAGTTGGCGGTGAGCTGCCTTTATAAACTGCTACAGTCCACCTGGTGTGGGTACACTCACAATGCTGTTCGGGAAGGAGTTTGAGGATTTTGATCCAGCAACACTGAAGGAATAATGACATGTTTCTAAGTCATAATGGTGAGTGACTAGGAGAGAAACTTGCAGGAGGTGGTATTTCCATGCATTTGCTGTCTATGTTCTTCTAAATGGAGTGATTGTGGATGTGGGTGGTACTGTCTAAAGATCTTTGGTGATTTTTTTGTAGATGGTGCACATTGCTGCTTCAGTGTATCAGTGGTGGAGGTAGTCGATGTTTGTAGATGTGGTGTCAATCAAGTGGGTTGCTTTGTCCTGAATGGTGTTGAGCTTCCTGAGTGTTGTTGGAGCTGCACCCATCACATTCCTGCCTTGTGCCTTATAGATGGTGGATAGGCTTTGGGGAGTCTGGAGCTGAGTCACTCGCTGCAGTATTTCTAGCCTCTGACCTGTTCTTGTTGCCACTGCATTTATATGGTGGGGCAGTTCAGTTTCTGGTCAATAGTAATCTCCAGAGTGTTGATAATTGGGATTCAGTGATGATAATGCCATTGAATGCTAAGTTTTTTTTCTCTCTTGTTGGAGTTGGTCATTGCTTGGCACTTGTGTGAAATGAATACTACCTGCATTTCTGGATATTGTCCGGCTCTTGCTACACTTGGACATGGACTGCTTTAGTATCTGAGGAGTTGTGACTGGTGCTGAACATTGTGCAATCATTGGTGAACATCCCCACTTCTGGCCGTATGGTGGAGAGAAGGTCATTGTTGATGCAGCTGAAATGTGTGGGCCTTGGACACTAACCGTCCTGTATTTCTCTCGATATCTATTTATAAGGAATGCCATGACAATCATACACTTGTTCACCTAAAAACACATTTTTAGTCTGTTTCTTTTTATAAAGGCTCAAGTTAAGCTGCAGTTAGTGATCACTATCTGGATTAGTTAGTATATCATTAATATTAGATTCCCCGATTGGTGAAAATAATTTCTCTCTATTTACTGTACCTGTTTCTTCAATATCTTGATAATGTGATCGAATCCCATCTTTATCTTATAAATTCCAGGGAATACAACTCTTGTGGGGAAGCAGTGGTGTTATAGTAATGTTCCTGGACTAGTACCCCAATGACCCAGGCTACTATTCTGATTCTAATCTGACCATGGTAAAAATTTGATGGAATTCTTGCAATGTAATGGTGGCATCCCTAGCTCCAGGGGTTAATGTGCAGGTTCAAGACTTTCCTCCCACAGAGGTATGTCTGAATGAGTTGAATTTAAAAAAAAACTTCTGGTTGTACGATCTGTTCTTAGTCATTTATCCCTTGAAATCCAGGTGCCATTGGGGTAGGTCAAGGCTGCACTAACTTCAATAATCATTCCTAAAGTGAGGTGCCCAGAGCCATTCACAGTATTCCAGGTATCCATTTAAATATTTGTATAGTTGTTTGTACAATTCTTAGAGAAGATGAAATTAGGGCAAAACTATAAGATCTGCCTGGGTTGGCTATGGGTACAAAATTGGATGTTTAGCATTCCAGCCGAAAAGGAAATCAGCAACAGTAATATACCCACAGTGTAATGCTGCTGACTTCAATTTGAGGAATTGACTGTGACATATTTTGAGGGTGCATTTTCAGCACAAAAACTCTGAAAAGAAAAGAAAGTAAACATCTTGTTCACGTTGCTCTCTGACAGAGCTGGCAGCATCAAAGTGAGTGAATTATTGAAATAACGGTGTATCATGTTTTGGCCAATGAGCAGATCCAGAAAGACTGGCATAAAATATTCAGCATCTGTCTGCACCAGTTTTCTGTCAAGTGCTTTATAATTCACAAGCTCTCAGTTTACCTTTCCAGCGTCACCAGTGACCTCATGAAGGATTCTAACATTCTCACATTACACAGCATTAAAAGCAGTTGTATTTGATATTACAATGTACACACCAGCCTTGCATATGTATATTTGAAGACATGTATTAATGAATGCCATTAAGTCTTTATGAAATAACCTTTTGATCATTATATACAAGGAGTCTCAATTCTATCAGCACCACAAATAAAATTATTTCTGAAAAAACATGAAGCTTTCTGTCTTTGCGCTGTTTGCCTTTCATAACTACTTTAAATTACTAATGTCAATACATGCATGATATTTCAATGCTGGCACATGGTATATTATTAGCAAGTACCAATACAAGAGGCCACTTGATGCCAATCCTGCTGAAAATTGGTGATTTGTTGACATGAAAGTAAATTTGTTTTGAACTCATGCATTTGTTTTAATGTGAAGTTACATAGTTGGAATGATTTGGAGGTCTTCTTGATTATATTTTTAGGTGACTATACGGGCTAAGTGGATTTTAGAAATATTCAAAGTTAAGTTCACTGTCCTTGGGAATATTTCAAAATGAAAGCTGGATCCCAACAGCCTGCAAAATACAAGCAGGAGTTTTGACCGATAGATTTCCTCAGAGTCTGTACTTGGAAGAAATTAAGTATACATGATTTAGGCAGAAATTAACACTCCTGGCCAGCCTCGCATTTATACAATATCATTAATATGGTAAAACATTTCAAAGTATTTCACAACAGTATTGTCAAATAATAAAATGTACCATAGTGAGATGTAAGGAGAGATAACCAAAAACTTGTAAAAAGAGGTAACATTGACAAGTGTCTTAAAGGAGGAAAGAAAAAGACAAAGATTTATTGGAGGACATTGAAGTATTACACCCTGTTTTCATTATATTTTGCTCTGGTTAGTTTGGGATTGGATTTCCATAAACTTTCATTAAACTTATACTCATCCAATGCCCCACTGTCCATAGCCTGGCTCTCATCAAGTGCTATTTATCCTGTGTTCACTGACCTACGGTGATTGATTGATTGATTTATTGTAGTCACACATACCTCAGTACAGTGAAAAGCTTTGTTTGCAAGCAGTACAGGCAGATCATTGCAAGTAAGGACATACAGATCATTGGGTGCTTAGACAGAGTGAGGGACACAAGTTACACTGCACAGGAGATGCACAAAGCAAGATCAACATTGACAAGATCAGCATTACTTGAAGTTAGAGAAATCCATTCATCAGTCTAAGAATGACAGGGAAGAAGCTGTTCTTGAAACCTGTTGGTGCGTGTATTCAAGCTTCTATACCTTCTGCCCGACAGAAGAGGTTGTAGGAGATCATTACCAGGGTGGGAAGGGTCTTTGATGATGTGGGCAGCCTTTTCGCTGTAATGAGAAGTGTAAATGGAGTCCATGGATGGAAGGTTGGCTTCCATGATGGTCTGGGCTGTGCACACAATCATCTGTAGTTTCTTACGGTCCTGGGTAGAGCAGTTGCTGTACCAGGCTGTTATGCTCCTGGATAATATGCTTCCTGTGGTGCATCTGTAAAAGTTGGTGAGCGTTCCTGTGGACATGCTGAATTTCCTAAGCTGCTGAAGAAGAAGAGGCATTGTTGTGTGGCACACAGTTAAGCAAAGACTTGATTTTAAAGTCATCATCCTTGTTTTGAAAACTCTCTTGTCCTCATCCCTTCTTGTCTTTGTAATCCACTCCAGCCCTACAATCCTCCAAGTTCTCAGAACTTCTCCAATTCTAGTCACTTTGGACAACAATCATTTCTCATCACCTCGCCATTGCAGGCTGTGCCTTCAGTTGCCTAGACCCAAAACTCTAAAATGCCCTCCAAAATATCTTTGTCTTTTTTTTAATATCTCCTTTAACAAGCTTGTTAATGCTACCTGTAGGACATTCATATCCAGGCTCCACTGTTGGTGGTTACCAAAGATGTCAATGAAATATCTGGAATTAAGAGAGTAACGATGACCATGAAACCATTGTTGAATGTCGAAAAATATCATCTGGTTCACTCCCTGTCTCATTGGGTTGGTCGTCTAGCAATAACAATACCTCTCCCATTTTGCATACATGTGTCCTCATTCAGATCTTAAAATTTCAGTTTTGGGATGCGTGTGTACTGCAAGGTCAGCATTTATTGTCCATTCCTAATTGCCCTCAAGAAGGTAGGTTGCTTTATTGAACTGCTGCAGTCCACATCATGTTGGTCCACCCACAGTGTTTTTGGGAAGGGAAGTCTAGGTGTGCTGCCCTAGTTCTTCTGATAGAGTTTTGAGGTTTAGAAGGTGCTTTTGGATGTGCTGTTGCTGCTGTGCATCTTGTAGGCGGAACACATGCTACCACTAAGTTTCAGTAGCAGAAGGCACAGGTCGTGAAGTTGTTGGATGAAATTTCAGTCAAGGACTTTACTGTGTTGTTAGTGGTGTTAAATATTTTGGTGTTGAGTGTTGTTGGAGCTCCATTCCAGTCAATGGAGATGATTCCATTACTCTTCTAATGTGTGTCCTGTAGCTGGGGACAGACTTTGAGGAGTCATGAGATGAGACACTTTCCATGAATTCCCAGTCTTCTCACGTATGTTATTGATGTGTTACTTTTTTGGCCAATGTTATCTCCAGACTGTTGAAGGTGACAGATTCTATGAGGTAATGTCAAGGAGAGATGATTAGATTCAGAGCTAGCCATTACTTGGCATTTGTTTGCAAAGTTTCCTCTAAATTGCACGGTTGTACATGACTGTTGCTGCTCCAAGATCAGGGTACTGATACTCTTTGCAGCATTGATGTACAATTTGAGAAGTCACTGCTGTGCATGGACTGCATAGAGGAGAAACTAATTCATGGAAATGCTGTTTATGTGGAACACCTTTTACTTGCCAGTTAAGCACAAATGTTGTCAAGGTTTTGTTGCACATGAGCTCAACTGCTTGTATCTAAGCAGTTGTGAGTGATCGAGAACACTGTGCAATTATCAACAACATCCCCACTTTGTTTTTTTTGTTGGAGGGAAGATCATTGATGTTTGTTTTTTAACAACCACAATCACATTTCTTTGTGCTGGGTATCACTCCAACCAGAGGTGTATTTTCTACCTGATTCCCATTGATTTCAATTATGCCAGGCTTGTTTATGCCACAACCAGTAAAATGCTGCTTTGATGTCCAGGGCAGTCACTCTCACTGCATTTCATATGCAAAAGTGAGCTTTTATATATGGACTTGAGCATTTATATATGGACTTGAGCATGTCTGTGCATGTCTGAGTGTGAGTGTGTGACTGTGTGAGTGTATGTGTGTGTGTGTGTTTAAGTGTCTGTGTGTGAGTATGAGTGTCTGTGTGTGTGTGTGTCTATATGTGTGCCTGGCTGTGTGCATGTATATTGAGTGCTTACATTAAGCTCACCTTTGACACCATTACAGGTATGTGCTAATTTATCCTGCAATTCATCACGGAACAGTTGGCAAGTCCAGGACAATCTGAATGCTTGTCTCATTGACCCACCACACAAGTGAAGCATCTTGTCTGAATAGTGACACTTCTGCAGAAGATGGTGTCCTGGAATCAATCTTTCAAATAATCAAGTCACAGAGGATTGCCTTTAAAACAGATGCACTACCCCAGCCTGTGCTCAGCTCCCACTTTGTGAATGAAACTCGAAGCGTAGAGGACACAGGTCCACATTGTGGCTCAGCACAGCCAGAATGATGCAGACATGTCAACACGTATTTTGAAAGGGTCAGCCCAACTGTAGGCAGGAAGTGAGCTTGCTGTTCAAATAAGGATGGCCGGTAGGACGCTGGGCTTGGAGGATCAATGGGAGTTTCTTTGAAGAAGAGGTCAGTTTGTTTCTAATATAAAATAGCCGAATAGAAACTCATAACCTGTCTATGATTCTGGAGGGACAGTCCTCCACATGACAGCCTGTGGCTCTCACCGGAGGGTTCACAGCCTCCTGCATTTCCAGGGCAAGGTCACCATGGCTGTCTGGCAGTGATCTGGTCTGATGTACCAAGCGGAGATTTGGAGACCACTTTGTGAAACACCTACGCTCAATTCGTGACAAACGACTGCACCTCCCAGTCACGAACCACTTCAGCTCCCCCTCCCACTCCTTGGACGACATGTTCATCCTGGGCCACCTCCAGTGCCACAACGATGCCACCCGAAGGTTGCAGCAACAGCATCTCATATTCCGCTTGGGAACCCTGCAGCCCAATGGTATCAATGTGGACTTCACAAGCTTCAAAATCTCCCCTCCCCCTACCGAATCCTAAAACCAGCCCAGCTCGTCCTCGCCTCCTTGACCTGTCCATCTTCCCTCCCAACTGACCAACCCCCATCCCAACTCCCCACCTACACTCACCTTTACTGGCTCCATCCCCGCCTCCTTGATCTGTCTGTCTCCTCTCCACCTATCTGCTCCTCTATCCACCTTCCATCATCACCTCCCCCTCTCTCTATTTATTTCAGAACCCCCTTCCCCTCCCTCATTTCTGAAGAAGGGTCCAGACCCGAAACGTCAGCTTTCCTGCTTCTCTGATGCTGCTTGGCCTGCTGTGTTCATCCAGCTCTACACCTTGTTGTCTCAGATTCTCCAGCATCTGCAGTTTCTACTGTCTCTGGTCTGATGTCTATTGTTTACTTTGAAATTGTTTGGAAATGCCAGTTGCTATGGGAACAGGGAATTAATAAGCCATGTTTTATTTTATATGTTCATACAATGTAGGCATCACTGGCCAGGTCAGCATTTATTGCCCATCCACAATTGTCCAGAGGCCAGTTCAGGGTTGACCAGATTCCTGTGGGCCTGCTATGTAGGCCAGACCAGGTAAAGATGGCATATTTCCTTCCCCAAACAACATTAGTGAATCAGATGGATTTTTATGACAATGGACAGTGGTTACTGGGTCACCACACTTCTATTGAACTCAAACTGCACCATCACCCATAGTGAGATATGATCCCATGTCCCCATAACATTGACCTGGGCTTCTGGGTCACAAGTTCAGTGACATTGCCTCTACATCACTGGTCATAGTCACTGTTAGTTTCCCTGCAACATGCTGATAAACAGTTAGCCTGGCCCTGACTTGGCCTGTCCTCTCTCAGTGCTGGGGTCCTGGTGCCTAAACAACATGGCGGCTGGTATCAACAATTTGGGGGCTCACCCAAAACCAATTGTGACCTACTTCTAAAATCCAGCCTCTAGATTGTGCTGAATTAAAGAGTTGAGTTCTCCAAATGTAATTACTGCTTTTGCAATAATTCCTCAAAAGTACATGTAGCTCACATTCAACCTGAATCACTGTATTGAAATAAAGAAATATCCATTTAGGAATGAAATGAGGAGACATTTCTTCACTCAAAGGTTTGTAAACTTTCAAAATTTTCTGCCTTTGAGAATTGAGGACGTTGCATCACTGAGTATATTCAAGTTAGGGGAGAGAGTGGGAAGGCAGAGCTGAAGTAGAACATTAGCCATGATCTTACTGAATAGCAGAGCCAACCTGAGGGGCAGGATAGCTTATTGCTCCTTCACATCCTCATGTCCAAGCTGCTCAATGACTAGCACCAAAATATGGCTGCTGCTCAACATCCAAATGAAGTTATACACCAGTGAACAGTTCTGCAGTTATGATTTCTCAATCTCAAATTGTTCCTGATTGCAAAATCTCTGTTAGAGTTAATTGGTTCTCCAGACTCTTCCTCTGCTTACATCTTCGCTGATTTAAAAATATCAGTTATCAGAATAAAAACACCCCTTCTGCGAGGCATTGTTGAGTTCAATGATGAGGCTAAAGTTATTATGGGGGCTATTGTGTATCTTGGTGACTCATTGTAAATCTGGTAGAGTGCACGATAGAGACCACCCTGAGCCCTCCCTCTGTTTCTCGTTTCATTGAAATCTGCCGTGTCCTGCATCAATCTGCTCAAGTGAGTTACAGCCCATGTGACAAAATTGGAAATCACTCCTGCTGTGTGTGCCAGTCATGTTTTAAAGACATCTACTTGAGACATATAGAAATTATTACTCAAGACTGTAGACTACCTGGATTTTGTAAAGCCTGCATTTGAATTGTTTTTTTAATTTGGGATTTGTAGGTTGTGGATGTTCCATCATGAATTATACTGAAGGGTAGATTAGACAGATTTTGTTCTCTCCGGAATGAAGCGATATGGTGAACAGGGGATGTTGGTGGTAAGTGCCTGGAAATCAGCTAATATAGTATTGGATAGTGAAGCAAGCTTGATGGACCTTATGGCTTACTCCTGCTTCTAGTTCTCATGTTCTTTCATTTTTATTTGTTAATAAGAAACTTAACCGAAATTAATTTTACTTACTTTCATCTACCTGTTATTTTAACTCTAGTGATCGATTAGGAGATCCTTGATTGGGGCTGTTAACCTGGACCAATCAGGGAGCCGTGCCTGACAAATATAAACAGGAGATTTAGAGAATGTCCTCATTCTAGGGACTAACTCCGAGCTGGCTGGTCAGATCCTATGTACTGTGCACATGTGAATAAAGGATGACTTGATGATGGGATACCGGCCTCTCTGCAGTTCTTTCATTAACCAAAGTACTCGTTTATTTTAAATGACTTGATCTCTCTGTTAAGATATTGAGCAGAGGAATTTCTTAAGCAAGCTATGATTTTTATCAATCTATTTCGATCCAAAATAAAATCATCAGCTAAAGTTACAGCTAAATTCTGGCTCTTTTTCCTCAGTTTAATTAGCACCTCCATAATCAAAGTAGCATACATGCTGCACTTAGAAATCTGAAAATGTGAACTGATTGAATGTGCAAGATGAGAGTATAAATGGAAACTGTAATAAAACAGATTGCCTTGGACTTTGTATATTCAGTTTCCTTCAGTTTCTTCACTGAGGAAGTCTACCAAGGCCTCAAACAGAAGGGATAAAAAATGTACCACCAAACAT